AAAGAGCACCTCTTACCTAAGCCATGTCTGTGTGTTGACATAGGAGGCATTATAGTCCAAGCTTTGGTGATAGGGTTGAAACATTCAACAATGTTAGAAGTTTTCAGGCCATCTCTTCCTCCCACGATATAGAGCTTGTTGTCAATGACTGCAACTCCAAACTGTAATCGCCTGCCATTCATTGTACCAATTTGTATCCAGCTGTTAGTCCTAAGGTCGTATTTTTCAATTGTAGTGGTACCTGTTAGAAACAGAAGCATTATGAGACAGCCATGAGCTGATCAGGACCCCACAGTCAGCAGTTGGTGCAACCCAAAACATTATTAAATTCTAAACCATTCACATTCTGTATGTGGACTTTTACTGTGGCTCCCTGAGAACTTCAGTTATGAGATGTGAACTTAATGAGAAGGTTGCTTTAATTGCACGTGTATATAATTGTCAAATCTATGAGAACAAACAGGGGGAAAGAAGATGCAGAATTAAATGCCAACAAATCTTTAATGCTGAAAGTCTTGGAGATAAGTTAAATCTCTCACTCATTTAAATACTGTCAGGGTTAGGGGTTCTATGGTTTGGAATTTTGTTTTTTTAATATTCCTTATGAAGGGGATACCTCACAATGACATGAAAAACGTATCCATGTGTCTTAGGACTTAGGCGTGCATCTTCATTAACAGTCTGGATATTTTCCTCTCTCTGATGGAGAGAGAGAGCAGGCTCTGTGGTGTGTGAGTACGTGCTTGGTTCCAACAGGTAGCTTCCCTGAGGCTCACCTCTGTGGCTGCCTTACAATAACTGCTTGTCTGCTGTAATATATAAGCTGTATTTTCAATTTTTTCGGGTCATTGCACTTCTGGTAATGTTTTTACTGCAACTATTCTAGAGGTCCTAGCTCTCTGCCATTCAGAGCTGATGCTTTTCCGTGCACTGGCTCCTGTCAGTCACTCAGCAGCTGAAATTGCTCCTTTGAGAGCTGATTTAGCACAGCAGGGAGATGGCTGAGTAACAACCAAGGCAGAAGAGGCAATTGCCAGTGGCATGTACAGTGCACCCTGGAGCTCAGCTTCAGCTCAACCGAAGGCAACCAGAGGGGAAAGCCAGAGCTGATTTCCTGCCTGTGCTTGGACTGGGATTTGAGACTGCAGAAGTGGTGTTTGGAGAATTACAATAAGCAGTTAGTGGCTAAGGAATGATTTACAACAGCAAAACAACCATGCAAAGGTAGCCTTTGGTTTAGAGATCATCAGCTATACTCAATATACTTAGTGAAATAAGAGCTTATCTCATTCTATCTTTTGTCTCCTCTACATGCTTTTCCAGGTGCATAAACTGGGAAAGAAACTACCAGATCCATCTGCAGTAAAAGAAAGACATTCTCCTTTTTCCACTTTCCCACCTCCTTTTATTTTAACTGCATTTCTTTGGCTGTTCTTTCCATTTTGTTAGTCTGTTTTCTCTGCTTTGCTTTGATTCCTTCTCATTTATTCTATGCTAACATGCCAGTGCCCCAAAGTTCTCAGCTTCAAAAGAATGATCTGCACGCTAACTAAAAAACAGGAAAAATACATTAAGGTGTACAACATGTTCATACATACCCTGTAGGCTGTAATTTTTATAGAGGCTAGAAGGTAGGTTTTGAAAGTTAATGTGTTTTGGGCACATTCATGTTTTTTGAAATATCAGCCCAAAAGTAGCTCTTTGATCTCCTTTTGATCATTTGAAGTTGAGATTTGACTTCATATAGCACCTGAGATTAGTACAAAGCCGAACGTGGCGTTCCCTGAGAGCTTTCTTTATCACAGAAAGCATGTTATGGCCAGAGGTGGTAGTCACTCCCTTCTCAGAGCTGTTCTTGCAGTGTATCACAGTCTCTTAGGTGCCGTTTCCTTCATCTTACAATCCAGCACAGGCTCAAAGTCTGAGTCAGAACAGTAGAGGACAGCAGGGAGGAGAGGAAGTGCTGTTCTTCTCAACCATCAAAAGGCAAAAGTTCAAACAACTGGCCTCATTCCAAGGTAATAAGTAAAAGAGGCACCAACAGGAAGTGCAGATGTTGACTGAAATAGCCCTTTCTTTGCATAACCTTTGCTGAGGAAGACCTAGCAGAAAATTTTATTGTTGTTTTGGTAGAAGTTTAAAGACTACCTTGAATTCTTGGTTGCTTTATATAATCCATAAATAACCAGCATCACTACTGAAACTGTACTAATTGCTATAGTTCCAAATTTCATTTTGCTCAATTGTCCTAGGAACGAGTGTTTTCATGTTGTGATGGTGATGAATGTCTGTTTTGCACTTGAATTGATTGCATAGAGATAGTAAGGTAGAGAGAGCTGCAAGGTCCCTCATCTAGGAAAAATCAGTCATCAGCAACTTTTTGCAAGCCATGAAATGGATTAGCTGCTTTGTGATTCTGTTACAAGTGAGCTCACGCAGCCAAAAGTAAAACTGTTCCACAAGTTGCTAGACTTTAAACTAATCATAGTTCTCTGGCTCCAAGCTGTGGGTTTGAAGTTAAGGTTCCTGTGGAAAATTATTTAATGTACTGCCTATTAAGTGGACTAACGTAAGGTGTGAAGCTGTAAGCTGATTGCAGTTGTGAAAATCAAATAACAAAAACTGCAATCCCTTTATAACATTTAACTTTCAATTATAAGTCTGAAAGAAACCTGTGTATGAAGTCCTGAAAGAGAGCTGCATGTACTGCTGCAATCATGAAAAAGTACAAATCTTTCTACCTGAATTTTTATATAAAGGACTGATAAGCTTTAGCTAAGAGTTCTCTACACTTTGGTAATGCTTTTTGGTTTTCTTTTCCTCCTCTTCAAAAATTTTTCCAGCCTTCCCCAAAAAATTAGAGTCTATGGTTCTAAAACACCATTAAGTAAATCTTGAAATATTGAATACTGTAATGAAACTGTATTAATTAATTCAGTAAAATTAGTTCCTAAACTTACCTTTAGTGGCATCCATACCTCCTACAGCATAAAGTGCACCCACTGTAGATTTTCTAGGCTTAGTCCGAGGACTTTGCATCATGGACCTTCTTTCTGGTAGGAGATGGTACTTCATAGCCTCCATGAGAAGCTTCTGACACTCCAGGTCGTCTGCAAACATTGGACTATTTTCTAGATCGGCTAGTAACTAAGAAATGAAAAGTGAGGATCTTGTATCTAAATCAGTGAAGTTGTACCTACTTCAGCAATTAAAGTATTTGTAGCTGCAAACACTCATTTTAAGTTCACCTCTCACTCAGGCTTTGCTGGAAACTCTGCTTTAATGTAAGCAAAATGATATGAAGGTAGGGAAAAAAGTCTTTAAGTACAATGTCGTTGCTGTATTTTTTATATAAACTTTCTTTTAACTTTTAGAACAGATTAAATCTGCAAATGTAGTATTGCACCCTCTAAGTGTGGGATTCTAAAACAATACAAAACCCCCCCAAAACAATACAAAACCCCCCAAAACAATACAAAACCCTAGAACCTTTCTGCAGAATTCGTTTCTCTGTCTAAGCAAGGCTTGCTGTGGTTCAGTTGGTGGTGAAGTTCCCTGTCAGCCCGTCAGGCTGGTACCTGGGGAGGCAGCAGAGGCAGCCTGATGTAAGAGAGCAGCATTCCCAGGTCCCGCTGCCGGCTTTGGAGGTCGTGCCTCACCCACATCATCAGTGCCTGGAAAATGGCTTCTTCATCTGGAACGTTGATGTCGTCGCTAGACAACAGCTTTGCAATCTCCTTAGCAGGCAGCAAAAGAAATTCCTGATTTTTTATTACTTCTGTGAAGTGTTCCTAAAATGAAAAATAAAAAATGCAGTGTGCTGATGATTTCCACGCCTTGAAATCACATTTGCTTAGGTAGTGTAGGTTTTCATCTCTCTCACTCCTGTTCTACTCTATGATATAGAGAAATGCAACATATACTCTAAAGATCACTCAATCTCCGTCTACCATTTAGGTTTTGGGTGCTCTCTGCTGCCTTACTCTTGCAGGACTGATGAATAATGTTCATTTTCATGCTAACGTGCTTAGAGATGTGCTTGTCAGGCTTCTTACCAGTATGTCCTGTCTGAGGGATTTGGCACTGGCAGTTTTGACCATCAAGGTGATCTTAACACTGCAGCTTAATAGAAACACAATTTGAAGATATAATATGTAGCTGAAGAATGCCAAGTGGGCATTCAAATGAACTCTGTAACTTCTGTAACAATGAGATTCAAAAGTTTTAAGCAAATTACATTGCAACCTTCCAATCCTCTCCCAACGGGCTGTGCCAGGTGTTGTCTGTACATCTCTGCTCTCACTGGCAGAAAATACTGCAAGGGAAATTAAACTCACTTTCTAACAATACTTTGTAAGCAATAGAGAATTGGACAAGTCCCAACAAAGGGCTCTCAGTCTTTAAGTTGTTGCTGTGATAAAACTCATCAGCTTAAGAAACAGCCATGAATAACATATCCCTAGAATCTTTCCAAAATCATTTTTTATAAAAATAATATATTGTGTAGTCGAGTTCCAACAATATGAGATTTGATGCTAAAATATATTGTGTGCTTGCTTGTGCTAATTTCAAAGGAAAAAAAAGAAATTTTGTTAAGAGAGATGGAGTTTTCATTTGAGTTGCTAAGGAATGAATGTAGGAATTCTTCATTTGAAATATTAATTTCCATTTATCTACCTGGAAGATAAATATATCTTATTTAGGAACCAGACTGAAATAGGGCAGATGAAGAAATTCTAGTAACTGATATTTGTCTTATCTGTTTTGAGAGGTTTCTTAGCTTCTGTAACTCTCTTCAAGAGTACCAAGGATGTAACTGTAGAAGTACCAAGTGATGAAAGATGTTAACTTTGCTCTGTTATGCATATCCTGCTTTAATATTTTGTAACATTCAGAGAATAGGAACAGGAAGGCCAGTCCACATTGAGTTACAAATATAGCACAAGATGTTTATCAGAACGAGCTCTATCTGCATGAAAAGACACCAGGCAGGAAACTGTTAATACTTGGCATCAATGGCTAAAGTAAGTGAAGGGGAAGGTCTCCATTGTGTCTGGTTTTGTTGAATGCTTGTGGTGTTTAGAGCTGATTATCTCTGAAAATGTTTAAATCCTTCTGGTTCGTTTGAATGGTCTCTATGTTTACAATACAACTTTATAGTCTTTCCCCTAAGGTACAAGTTTTCAAGTGGCTGAGGTTGGCACAAAACAAAACAGAATGTTTTCCTTCTCTTCCTCCACAACACTGCTGTTTGTGTATGCATTGTTGTGATCTCTTATTCCCCAAAGTTTTTTTTTTAATGTCACTTCAAGAGATTAAAAGAAACTTTTCTTCAAGGTTATTTCAGAGAGGTGCAGATTTCCTCTTCTTTATGTTGTCTCTAAATTGTCCCTAGCTGCAAACTTGGTAGGGGGTTTATGACATGCAGGATCCTCTTTCATGGCAGCATCCTGAATCTGTGTTACACGCAAGATGCAGGAGGTGGTTTGAGAGGTGGAAATGCTACCAGATATGTGAGGGAAGATACAGTGTAAAGCCTATGTACACAGTACTGCTCAGTCTCACAGATTCACCACCACCCTTCACGTCAGGCACTGTTCTTAAAGACCCAACCACCATTTCTGTGGCTTACAGCTTTTAAAAATAGTAGAAGTTTAGCTCCTGGGGAAGGCTGAAGGTTTAAAATAGTTAAAAATATCCTAACAAAAAAGACTTTCTTATTGTCTGATGTTGTAAAATCATATGTCTAACCATACGATTTTATTTCAGTTTTGCAGAAGTCTGGACCTTGATTTTTTAATGCCTAAAGTTGATGTTCATGTGCTGGGGCTGGTGGGAGAAGAGAGGCAATAGCAAAGGGGAGAAGTTCCTAATTTTGGCTGAGTATAAAATGGTGTGGAGCAGCTAGGACAACGCTGTCACAGAGAGGCTGAGTAAACCTCTATCTTAAATGCCCTTTTTCAAACTTTAAAATATAAAAGGAACCTAGATGGCTGGTAAACAAAGCACTCATTAGTATGACAGGAAGGAGCACAACCAGTGCCCTCAATCTGTACATGCCACTCTCATTTATTTCACCGTGTGGAACTGTACAATCTCTTGCTGGAATACTCCCAGTGTGATGAAGCCTCTAAACTGGTTTTGACATGCTACACTAATATTTCAGGCATAAAGCTGCCATGTGTCTCCTAACAAGTAGTTCTTTTTATATCTCTTTAGCTGTAGCAGTCGCTATTCTTTTTGTGTTTAAAGTTGCTATAGCACATCTTGTTGCCCTGAATATTTATCCCTTGATTTGGTTTCACAGCAAGCTATCTTCCTTCCCTGTTTCCCTCACCCTGAATATTCATTTCTTGCTTTGAGCCAGAGGAGGATTATGCTCCAGTCAGGGCTGTGCTGCTTTTTAGCATTCCAAATCTTTCCCACACGTTCTTTATTTTGCCTCTTTTTATGTATGTCTCACCTTAAAATCAGCTTTAGAATTTTCTTTGTCTTCAATCAGAAGCATAAGAATGGATCATTGCTGTTTGCCTCTTGATATGAGCAACGTTAAAGCCCCATTACATTTTTTGGAGGAAATGGATATCAATCCTACAGCAAATTTAGGTTCAGTAAGTGTGTCGCTCTACAAGGCAAAACTCATGAAGTGGGAAACAACACAGCTGAATATTTGGTTTTCAAAGTATGCTGTTCTCTCCTTCCTATCATTCTGTAACAGTCACCATTCTTAAATTTGCCCGTGGAGACCGAGCTGGGCAGAGATGTCCCTGCATGAGGGGCTTTGCAGAACAGACCCTGCCAGCATAGGAGTAGCAGAGCACTGCACCAGTCCTGGGGAGAGCAGCAGCCCTGAGCCCTGCCCAGCTGGCTTTGCTTCCCCCAAGCCCCTGCGTTTTCCAGGAGAGTGCTCTCCCTTGCTGTGAACATTATAACTGCAAAGCAGTAGCTTGTTCCTCTTACCATAGTGTAGGTGTGTGCCACCTTCAGGAGCTCCGTGCAGCCCTGAGCATCTCCGAAAGAGCGAATCCCCAGGCAGTTGGAAGGATGGAGCTGCTTCATGAGGAAGTTGCAGCATACCTCAATAACCTGGGAGAGCTGGAGAAGACAAGCTGCAGCTAGCAAACTTTCTATAGTGTCTTCCTTTAACTCTAGAATACCTGTGCAGTTTGCATGTAGAGGGAAAAGAAAAGTTTACAGTCATTTTCTCCATATTTCTATTACTTGAAAGCTTCCCACTCCCCAGCTTTTCACCTCCTTTGAAAAGTTTTGAACCTGTGATTCATAATTCTTGTTCCTTTCTTGCTGAAGGATTCTTTAACAGACTTAAGGATTTGGTGGATTTTGAATACAATGATTGGGATATTTTTTACTGGAGCATTAATAGTGTTAGATCTGATTTTGATAGGGGGGAAAAAAATAAAATAGAAAAGTGTGATTAGAGAAAAACCTTTCCTAAAATTCATGTATTAGTTCATTAAAAAAAAATACCTCATAGGTTTACATTACACAAAAGAACTCCATATCAAAAGCTAGGAAATGCCAGCAGTGTGTGCAGGAAACCTGATTTCTTTCATCATCTACATGTGCATTTAGAGTTTTCATGGAATTATTACAAGATGTGAGAATTTTATTGTGTTCATAGATAGACTGGAGTTGTTAATTTAATAAAATCTTCCATTCTTGTTGCTGTGTGGATGGCTCAATT